ACATAAGGACAAAGTCTGGTCAACTCAACAATCAAAACTCATTGTTCATCTCCTAAAAACATTTTTTTCACTTTCAATGATATTGATTTAGAGAGTTAAGCAACAAAGGAATGAAAGTACTGTGCGTTTGTGTGCACTATGTGCGTTCAAAGACAATGAGGAATTTTTAAAATTTATTTATAAGAACTCTGGCCATTGACATATTTCTAATTTGGACTAAGGCTATAGAAAGATTTAGATGTGCCAATCTTACAAGTTAAGAATGTCTAGCTGTCTTGATAAAAGGCCACCATTTAGAAGCCTGACTTTTATCTGGGATTGAACACTGACCACCTGAACCAGTGGGAAATAGACAATTATCTCAGCTGCAAGACAGCCTATTCCAATTTGAGTGATGCATAAATTCTAAAGCTGATGATGAACAATAACATTTCAATTACAGAGGGCAGAAAGTGTGACAGTGAAATCTGAAGACATATTGGAATGGCCAAAGATGCATTCCAAAAGTTAAGCAAAGTATTAAGAGACAGAAAAAATTCATTAGAAACAAAGAAAGGAGTATTGAACTCTTACCTGATATCTGTCCTCTTGTATGGCAGCGAATGCTGGACAATCTCCTCAAAGATGAAGAGGAGACTTGAAGTAACAGAAATGTGGTTCTACAGAAGGATGCTAAGGATACCATGGGCCAAAAATGTGAGCAATGACAAGGTTTTGGAGAAAATTGAAACAAAAAGGAAACTGATACTTAATATCAGGAAGAGGCAGTTGAAATTTTTGAGACATGTAATGAGGAAAGAGGGCTTGGAAAATCTGATACTCACAGGATAGAGTGAGGGAAACAGAGACAGAGGAAAACAATGTGCAACATACTTGACAGGCTTGTGTAAATGGTTGGGAGAAAACAAAAAGACAAAACTTATTAAGAGCTACAAGGGACAAGAAGATGTGGAGGATCACAATTGCCTACATCCTGACGGGACATGGCACATAAAAGAAAAGAAGTATTTGTAGGACAATTAGTTGAAATAGACAAAGAAAATGAAATTATTTATTTATGTGTTTCTTTAAATTAACATTAACTTTTTTCAATAAAAGGCTTTGACAAAAGCTCCTGGGGTTTAATGAGGGATAATGATAAAAATATTACATAATGACAAAATGAAATTATGTCAAATAAAAATAGGGAGCAGTATTCACCATGTGTTGTTTGAGCAGAAATTACATTGGGCAGTAAAGATGAACTAAACTTCAGCTGCTGGCAGACATATTGTAAAAGTGTAGTAAACAAGCTCAAGGTAAGCTATGCTAATTTATATTATTTTTTAGAGTTTTGTCACGGTTATGGTATTTGTAACAGGTTTAAATCAGTTATTAGACATATTGCATTTATGTTTAGTAAAGAATTCAATAAGGAAAGGTAAATTTAGTTTAATATATTTTTCAAACTACTAACTTACATTTTCTTTTTTATAGACTTCCTTTAGGTGAAAGGAAATAAAAATTTAAAAAAAATGTTTATCCAAATGAATATTACCTACACTATTTTATTATCTGAGAGATATTTACAATTGTCAAACTCCAAACTCCTGCTCTAATTGACATGCTATGAGATATATATTATCTTTGTTCATGAATCATGTGATATTATATATATATATATATATATATATTAAAATAATAGGAAAGAACAATGAGCAGAGTTCTTAGTATTTATTTTAAAAAAAAAAAAACAGTGCTCGATACAACAGTAGAGCATAATATTATCATTGTTTTTTAAAAATATATCATTGCAACACTGAAATTCCCATGTTTCAAAACTGAAACTTCAATTCAAATTCAATTTTTGTATTTTAAGTTTAATTTTTATGATTGAATTTGAATTGAAGTTTCAGTTTTGAAACAGGAATTTCAGTGTTGCAATGATAATATATTTTTAAAAAACAATTATATATATGTGTGTGTGTGTGTGTGCATGTTTAATAATACCAACAAGGGCTGTCCAACTTTATTATTATTAATAGATACTAGTTTTAACCTGTAAAAATTGTGGTTTTCCTATTGTAATATTCTGATGAATCTTAATTATTAAGTCAATAATTGTGTAAGGTCATGGTAAGTTCTATGACAATAAAATACCTATAGAAATTCCCCTATCACATCATTAAATATTTGAGCTTAACAACTTTAACAAAATATTGTAATAACAATCATAAATATGGATGCTGATCATTATTTTAAAAAGTGGGTACAAATGAAAAAAATTTGAAATTGACAACTTTTTCCATTTCACTTAAATAGCCATTGAGCACTTCTATCTTCTCTTCTTTCATTCATTTATTAATTCAATTTCCTACTGAAACAAAGTAGTGTCTTTTCTATACAATCAAAATGGAATAGTCCATTATCTATGAGGTATTTGGCAGAAGACATTAAAAAATTCTTTCTTTATATCTCTGTCACTGAAACTAGGTAGTGTCTTTTTTTTCTATACTATCATAACAGAATCATACGTTATTTATGAGATATTGGCAGGTTGTGCAAACTAACAAAAGGAGGGACAAGCACAAATAAAATAGGATTAGTTTTGCATGTTATTAGTATTGGGTGTTTTGCAAATTCTGGTGTTTCTTAGCCTGCTTGAATTAAGAAAGGTGAGAATTTGCTAAACACACAATTCTTCATAATAACTGTAGTGACAAATGTACTCACTAGATACAATAAAGAAACTTTGGAAGTTAATTCTGACATAAAACAACTTAGTCAGAAGTTAGAAAAACTAAATAATAAGTCTAATAGAAATACCTTGCCATACACACACCAAGCACCATTTAATTACCACCACCACCACCACTCACTGTGCACTATTTTATATAGGGTGTGGCAGAAATACTTCCCACATAATGGCAAGACATTAGTGGCAATGGTGTCTTCATCTAGCTAATCTCTTAACATTATGTGGGAAGTATTTCTGCCACACACTATATATCTCACATTGTTCATGAACAAAGAAAATTTTTGTTTTGCAGAAAATCAGTCACTATATATATATATATATATATATATATATATATATATAGATAGATAGATAGATAAAATTGTGTATTTAGACAGCAATCCCTCTTTTATACAAGTTTCATTAAATATGACTGACAAGGTACTGTGGTTAAGTTTTTATTTAATTTTTCTTGTGTTCTTATAATTTTCTTCTTTTCTGGACATAAATTATGTAGAAACTGTCAAAATGTTTTGCGTGTCTAAGTGCTTTTGGATATACTTTTAACCATTATCAAGGATGATTTTATTTTTTACTTTTAACTGAATGTATGGATTGTTTTATGTATGTATCTAGAGTTATAGGAAGGTTTTATTTTTCAAACACGTTTAACACATTGTGGCTGTTTATAGTTGATATTATTGAGTGTTGGCTTTACATGTGGATAAGGCTATTATATTTATATTATCAAAGAATATGTTCTGATAGAATTTGTTAGGTCTCCATAAATGGGACCCAATTGATCTATGGTTAGAAAGATATAATTTGAGATTTCTTGTTAGGCTTGTTATAGTATTTCTAATATAATTGTTTATGAATTTGGATTGATCAGGAATTCATGTCCAGAAAAGATGAAAATTATAATAACACAAGAAAAATTAAATAAAAACTTAGCCGCAGTATCTTGTCAGTGGTATTTAATGAAACTTGTATGTATGTATGTATATGTATGTTCATATGAGGAGAGATGATGGTAGCCACTACTCATCAGTGCAAATATACATGAAAATTGGAACTGACTTAATTTTCTATTACTGTGAAATCTTTATCTATGCATATGCTTGTTATGTTTTTAATAAGATCCACAAAAGCATAACATTTACACTGTATGTGACTTTGCCCTAAGATATTGAGCACTGTATTAAAAAAAAAAATATCACCCATAACCTACACTTAATTGGAATTACATTTGAATTAAATAATTGTTTATATTGTATGTGTGTCTTTATGAAAAGGTTCCTAAAGATATGGAAATTATTTAAAGTGACCTTTCTTATCCTTTTTACTCTGGAAGAATCCTAGAAATAGTTTCATATTGAGCAGATGAATTATCTAAAGATATATTTGAAATGCAACATCAACACTGCTTGTTCAGGAAAACTATTTTTTGTTACCAAATATAAGTGCCATTTGAAATAGTCATGTTGGTGGGAATTTTTCAACTTATAAAATAAGTGTTCAAAGAAACATTCTTTGGGAAATTTTTCTTTCAATAAATGTGGAACAAAAAGAATCATACTGTGGAGAAAATTTTCCAAAAATAATAAGCATGCCATACCAAAAAAAGTCATACTTGGGGTGGGGGATTATCAAAACGAATAATTGTGTTGGCACTTGTATTTGGTATGCAAGAGTAATCTGTCATCTTGGATATAATCTGCCAGCAGAAATTCCAAGAACCTTTACTTTTAGGAAAAAGTCTTTTGGTAAGTGTGATATATTACTTATTTTTACTTTTCATCATTTAAAATATTGCTAACAAAATTAAATGATAAAAACAAAAAGGTAAAAAGTGGGAGCACAAAAAGGTTGAAACAAGTAAACATGTGTACACCAAAATTAATAGTGTTTTCTTTTCTTTCTTTTTTTTGATAGCAGCAGCAGCATGTTATGTCAGAAACAGCAAATGTCATTTCCTCACAGCCTTTTGAAACAATTCTATTTTAAAAATGGCTGAACAATACAAAAAAACTTCCAGAAATTCTTAAAACTTTATCACCCAAATAATCCCAATCATATTTTTCAGAATGGCACATTGTCAGTTTTCAATTGGACTTTGAGAGAGATGAATATCAAACATTTTACTCTGATATTTTAAGAATGGCTGTATAAAAGATCCTTTGCCAATGAAACTGCAACTTTGTTTGTTGACAAATTCAGTATTTTTTCTGCATAAAATTTTAATTTCTTAATTGAAATATGATAAATGTTCATATATTCATTTTTAGCATTTTCTTAAGAAAAAAAGGGAAAAAAAGAAACAAAACAGGAAAAACAGAAAAGAAACAAAAAGGGAAAAATAGAAGAAATAAAGAAAAAAAGGAAAAAATAGAAAAAAAGGAGGAAAAATGAAAAAATGAAGAAAAAGGAAAAAAGAAAAAAACGAAAAATACAAAAAAGAAGAAACAAAGGAAAAAAAATTTAAAAAATAGAGAAAAAAAAAGAAAGGAAATAGAAAGAAAAAACAAAACAAAAAAGAAAAAATATTTCCTTTATATTTTTTTGGCAAAGGATTAATGTTGACATGAGCCCATAAGATTATATTAGTATAACCTGGATTTTTCTAATACAAATATAATGCAGTCAGAAAAGAAATTGCTAGCCAAATTGGTCATTGGAATCAATGATGACATTATCACAAAGAAAAAATAAAATTTTGCAGAGTATTTTTTTTTCTACCTCAACGTTGGACAAGACAAAAACAACTTTTCAAGGAACCATAAAAATATTTCATCAGGCAAAAAATAATTTGTAATAGAAATGACAAGTTCAGCAGTATTATGACAAGATTGATTCACATGTAAAAAAAAAAAAATTTTTAAATTGTTCATTGTAGTTATTGAAGTGATTGTGTCTCTTAATTCATTCTCCATTGTTAACAGCTGCTAAATTATTCCTAAATTAATTGGATAAATCCACATTGGTTCCTGATATTACCAATTCATGTTCACCAGAAATTATAAACTTCTGATAGTCTTTATCAGTGAACCCTGCAAAAGAGAAAGAAAAAAAAAGAAGTACAATTTAGAGTTTGTATAAAAGATGATTTTACATCAAGTATTTCTCATTTTTGGTCTACTGTTAGGAAAGTTTTTAAAATTTTAATTTCATTTTAATTGGATTTTAATAAAATAAGATGTAAATAGAATAAAACAATTTTTTAAGAAAAAAATATTTTAAATAAGTGAAAGTAATTTGATGATGAATTAATTTTTAGCATTATAAAAGAAAATTACAAGATTATTTAAATACACAAATATAGTGTGTTGTTGAATTCTTATTATCAATAAAAACACTGCGAAATCTTGGGCTCACGTTTTCCATGGCATCACTATACTGAATCAATTACTACAGCTACTGCTAGGAAAGTTGGTTCACTGCGATGTGCCAAACAATTTTTCACATCAGAATCCATCTTTCACATTTATAAATCTATCATTCATCCATGCATTGAATATCGCTGCCATATCTGGCCTGGTGCTCCTGCTATATATCTCAAGATTATTGACAAAATTCAAAGAAGGGTCTGTAATATAATCGATCCTGACCTGGCATCTCCACTTCAGTCATGTTTCTAAAAGACATGATGTGGCTTCTATCTTTTCTACAAATATTTTTATGGTAACTGTTCTGATGAGCTTTTTTCCTTGGTGCTTTGACTGCATGAGTTTAAGCATGCTACTGGATTGGCAACAAGGTCTTACCATTTTACTGTCAGACTAGTTAGATGTAACCATATGTTCTATTCTAATAGTTTCTTTTCTTGCACTTCTCTCCTGTGGAAACACTTCTGATTTCTTGCTTCTCTGCCACCTACAATCTTAAAAATTTAATGCAACACCAATAACCATCTTCTGTCTTCCTGAATCCTGTTCTTTTATTGTACTTATTCTCTATCACTCCCAGTAATCCCATGCATCTGTGGCATTATTGCTTTCCATCAGGTCAAATGTTTAAAAAAATATATATAAATATATACAAGACAGTACTTGAAGCTTGGAAACAAATGCTTTTTTTAGTCTATGGTTCTGATATAAATCATTTTAATTTTTCCAGAATATAACTTACACATTTATAAGCCTACCATTAATCCAAGCATTGAATATTGCTGCCATGTCTGGTTTGGTGCTTCTGCTATGCATTTAGAGATTCTTGCTAAAATCCAAAGAAGACTCTACAATCTCTGCCTTTTCAATAAATACACATAAAATTATCTCTTTTCGGAAATAAGCAATGCCAAATTGGTTAAACAACTTAGTTCACACAACCTCCTTTCAGACAAACAATATGACTTGTTTCACCAAGTCTACCACCAATGTATTAACAGCCATCTCTGAAGTTTTTTATCAAGCTTTAGATAAGAATGGTGAAGTTTGAGCTGTGGCTATAGATATCCCAAAGGCATTCAACAGGGTTTGGCATGCTGGCCGTCTATGCAAACTTGAGGGCTAAAGTGTCACTGGATGTATATTTGGCTTAAAACAATCATTCCTCAATCAAGTAATAAAGGTCATATTGAATGGGCATGCTTTCAGATCATTTTATAATAATGCAAGGGTCCCCCAGGGTTCTATCCTTGGACCACCTCCATTACTGATCTTCATCAATGATCTCCCTGATATCATCAGTTCCCAACTAATGCAGAAGACACTACTATTTACTCCTGCCTTAGTAGCAAATCCAACAAAGCAAACCTGGCAACTACTCTTGAAAAGGACCTCCAATCAGTGGTTAACTAGGACAAGTAATGACTTGTAAATTTCAAAGTCTCCAAAACAAAACAACTTTCATTTAATCAGCAGTGAGAACCTTTTCTGCCTATCATCAGGATGGCTGATTCTGAACTCCAGGAAAGCAACACTCTATGTGTCCTTGGCTTCAGGTTTTCCAGTGACATGAAGTGGAACAATTATATCAAGTCAATTGCTACGTCTGCTGCAAGGAAGGTTGGTTCACTGTGTCATGCTAAAAATTTTTTCTCACCAGAATCAATCTTACACATTTATAAATCTACCACTCATGTGTATATTGAATACTGTTGCTATTTATGGTCAGGTTCTCCTACTGTGCATTTTGAGATTTTTGACAAAATCCAGAGAAAGGTCTGCAATACAATCAATCCTGACCAGGCATCTCGTCTCCAGTCACTTTCTCACTGACATGACATAGCTTCTCTATGTCTGTTCTACAAATATTTTCATGGCAACTGCTCGGTCAAGCTTTTTTTCTTGGTGCCCTGACTACATGAATTTAAGTGTGCTACTAGATTGGCAACTAGGTCTCACCATTTTACTGTTGAACTAGCTAGATGTAACCATCATTTCTACTCTAACAGCTTTTTTTCCACATTTCCCACCTGTGGAACTTTCATCCCATTTCTTGCTTCACTGATAACTACAATCTTCAAAAATTTAAATGCAATGTGAATCCTCATCTTCTGTCTTCTTGAACCATGTTCCTTTTTAGCCTTTTCCTCAATCTTCCCCCATTTTCAATCTTCTCATTCACTTTCATGCCCTGTAACCTCCTGCGTTCTAGTAACAATATTGCCTTGCTTTGGGGGGTAGGGAGCAATTAAAAAAATATATTTTTATGTTAATTGTTCTGATGAGCTTTCCTACTTGGTACCTAGCATACTACTAGATTGTCTCATCATTTTACAGTTGAAATGTATATATGTAAGTGTAAATTTTATGCTAACAGTTGCACTTCTCATTGACAGAACTCACTTCCAGTATCTTACATTCTAGTCAACTTTGATCTTCAAAAATTTAAATGCAATGTCAATAGTTATTGTTTGTCTTTAATTCCTGTTCTTTTATTGTTCTCGCTCTTTAATATTTTCTTTTTCTCATATTCTCTCACACTCAGTAAGCCCTTGCTTGTAGTGGCATTATTGCCTTGCTTGGGCTGAAATGATAAAAAAAAATAAAAAAAAAATTCAAGAATTTTTTTGTCTTTTTTGACAAAGACTTAATCTTTCTTTATTTCAGCACCACAAGTTGGCCAATATGTTCTTTTGTCTTTAAATTTTAGAAGTTAGAAATAACTCCATCTCATTACCAGCAACTTTTGTTTGCCCATAAGGTATGACATTGCAAAGTTCTGTAATGTAAGATAAAAATTCATATTTTGTCTAAAGTAGTTACTTTGTTCCAAATATTCACAAGGAAATTTACCGCAGCACTGAATTTTGATATGTAAACTTGATTCGACATCAAATATTTCACATCTACATTAATCTAAAGAGAATCCCTTAAAACATACACACACACTCACATGGACCACTGCTTGGTAACTTGACTCAAGAAAACAAAAAATCCTACCCAGATGCTTCCAGATGAAACCTTGCATAGCTTTCCCAGTGAGTTCAACTGCAAGTTTTGGTGACAATGTGTAACGAGCTTTCATGATTCGTCCAACAAACTTATTAAAAAGAAACTGGAAGTCTGTAGAACTCTGGTGGCAGGTTCCTCTGAAATACAAAAGTATTATCCATTATGCTATTAAACAGTCAAAATATATAAGATAAATCAATACCTAAAAAAAGAATCAAAACATTTTGCTATTTATTGATATTATTTTATCAAAAAGAAAAAAAATTCTTTCTTAGTTTACAAATTGACAAGTGTTCAGAGAGAAAAAAAAAAAAGAGGTGAGACAGCAAGTTAAAAAAAAAATTCACAGGTTTACATTCTGGTGGTATCAATATTTTCTTCTTTTTTTTTTAGTTTACACCTGCGTTTCTCAACCATTACACCTGAAAAGTACCCAGATGCAACCCAAGTTAACAGAAGAATAATTTAGAACAACCATTAAAGGCAATTTTTTTCTTTGCCAAAGCACATCAATCACAGGTCTTACACAAGCATACTTAAATTTTAAATGTTATATCTTAAAATGAATGCTTATTTGAAGAGACTTCTTTATTATTTTCCTATTTTCCAATTATATGACTAATTTTTCCTTATTAAAATTTAAAGTGTACTTTCAGAGTTTTAATTATTCTACAAGTGCATCTTGAAATAAAAATGGTTGAGAAACACTGGTCTGTACATATGTTGTGGACTTGAATTAACCCACAACAAAGAAAAAGGTGAGAAAGATTTTTAAATATAAAATATTTTCAGGTTTTTACAATTAAATTTATCTCAATGAGTGTGAATGTTAAAGTTCCTTGTTTGTATTTGTTAAGATGAAAAAAAATGTGATTTCTTTGCATGTATGTTTGAAAAAGAGGGGCAAGGGAGAAAATGAGGAGGAAAGTTTAAATATCATGTAGCTTGATGAGAAAGACGGGTGAATGAGTAAGGGAATCTCTTTGAAGCTACTGTCATGAATTGACGTTGCCTGTATCCATCTCTATCTTATTAGTGCCTTTTGTCCATCTAGAGACTTTGCTTAAATACTCTTCAAAGGGATCACAAATCGTGTTTTATAATGTTGTTCTGGAACATGACCCATTGGTTGAAAAATATTAAATATTTATTTTCAAAGGATTCAATTAATAATCAGAAGAAAAAAACATTTTTTTTTCATTTGGCATTCAACCATTTTGTTATTTCAGTATTTGCTCCACACATATATACACCTAATAGCCTAACCTAATTAATTTTTTTATTATTTAAATACACATGTATCAATACTAGCAGTTCTTAACTTTTTAACAAGTAAAATTAGATTTTAAATGAAAAACTGTTAATGAAAAACTTCCAAGATTTAACATTGTACTTTCATTTTTGATATTGAATGGAAAGAAATTTGTAAATAAATTGCCAACTTGATATTTATAGCAAAATTTTCTTGAGTTTTACAAAACTCACTATGTGTAGGATGTATAATAGTATTTGAAACATAAGTGAAGTTGATGATGATGTTCCTCCCGCCCGTAGGAAGAGAGTTTAACCGAACAGTCGGTTCAGACTTGAGCAACTGACTCCTTGCCTACTCCTGAGGCGCAGTATTTATTAAGTATGGAATAGTCCATTATTATTATTATGGGTAAGATCTCATAACAGAAATAAACATAGTCGTCTGGAATTTCAAAGGTCTATGCTTTTTTGAAAATAATGTCACCGATTGGTTAATATATATGAATACAGAAATTCAAATTTGGAGCTGACAAAATGCAGAAAATGAGTCAAATATTCTGTGAACCAATGTTAGTACAGAATTGGCATTTTTAGTGATATCACTAAAATTCATTGCATTTTTCTACAATTCTTTAACAGTGTTTCACATATATATAGTTGTATGTATGTATATATGTGTACAAGTATACATAAGCTCTATAATGTTGGGTATATGCTTCTGATATAGATATAATAAACAAGCAAATACTCTCTTGAGTCTGGACATTGGAGATAACGTATTCTAATTTAATTTTAAATAATTGTCACTAATCCTCAGACATCTCAATGCACTTTTCCTCACATACAGTTTTGTCTTTCTTTCATTCTAACCTGAGGAAGTCAAAGAAAGCAGATGCTCTTGGGAAAACAAGTCATCAATAAATTTTCCACTTTGTCTCATCAACTTCACTTATATTTCAAATACTATTATACATCCTACACATAGTGAGTTTTGTAAAACTCAAGAAAATTTAAAACATGTAGTTCAAGTCGAGTCAGAGGCAGTCCGAAACAGAGTCGCATTCAGACAATTACTGCAAGACATTGGAATAGTGATACTGGTCGAGACTACATTGTTCTTTCTACTAAACCTGATTGTTCATACTAACACTTCTACTTCTCAGATATATTACAAACAGGAATATATACAGTGTTATTCCATACCTTTGTTCGCGTTCTTCTTTATTGGTTCTACCTTGGACTATCACCGAGGTACAAGGAACCGGACCTTAACAATTTCATAATTTTATAGGATCAATTCAGAAAATGATCAACACATTTATAAGTCCACCATTCATCCAAGAATTGAATATTGCTGTCATATCTGGTCTGTTTCTTATGCAATGCATTTAGAGATACTTGATAAAATCCAAAGAGAAATCTGCAATATTATTGATCTTGACCTGGTATCTCAGCTTCCGTCACTTTCCGACTGCCATGCCACCTTTTCTATAAATATTTTTGCGGTAATTGTTCCAATAAGCTTCCCTCTTTGGTACCGTGACTTTATGAATTTAAGCAATTATTAGATTGTTTCATCATTTTACAGTTGAAATGTATAGATGTAACCAGAATTTCTGTTAACATTTTCTTACTTTGTATATCTCACTAATGGAACTCTCTTCCAGAATCTTGCATTCCTGTCAACTTTGATCTTCAAAAATTTAAATGCAATGTCAATTGTTATCTTCTTTTTAATTCCTCTTCTTTTATTGTTCTCTCTCCTTAATGTTTCCTTTTTCTCATATTCTCTCACACTCAGTTACGTCTTAGTGGCTTTATTGCTTTGCTTGGGGTGAAATGGTTAAAAAAAAAAAAAAATTAATTGAACTTATTAATTAAATTCTATATATAGAATTCTATATATATTTTTCAATCAATAAAATCCCATCAGAAGGTTTGTTTGATAAACAACAAGTACTGGCAAAATACTTGTGGATGTAGTTTTTGATCTACCACATGTTATTTTTGGACCATTTAGAAAATAACAATAATAACTCCCTTTACAACTCCCACAAATTTGAGAAAAATATTTTCATGTACTACTGTGAAATTATTTTCTAAATAATGAAAACCTTGTATTCAAATTATTGTTAACTGTTAAATTAGATTTTGAATCCCCTTACAGATATAAAATAGAAGTTTAATGTTTCTCAGGGCTCAAAACAATTTGGGAGGCCAGTTTGATCTGCACATGTATATATGCACACACATCCACACAATAGAAGAGATGACAGCCAGCAACTACCAACTAAGGCCTTGTCCATACACACACTAGAAGGAAATAACCAGCTGTCATCAATTAAGCCTTTGTCTACAAAATCACAAACACATTAGGCTTACTGTCATAAAGTAAGTCTGTCCATGCATTTCACAATGCACTACAAACACTTAATTACTTTATAAAGCAAACTTCACTGCAAGGAAAATTAGACATTTTATTGCTAGTGTATATTTCTGAAAAGAATAATAGATGTTATATCAATTGATATTCCACTTCTACTTTTCCTTCAGAAAATAACCTTTTTTGTGTTTCATTTAAAAGATGCATTGTTGTTATTAAATGTTTGGAATCCCGATGATCAGATAGCATCAAAAACCTGGGTGAACAGATCACAACAAACTTACTTTGCCCATCTGTAGCATTAGCATTTGATTAATAAACAAAAAGCTTATAAGCAAAAGGTTAAATAATATGAGTATATTTAGAGTCAAATACATACCGAATGGTGATGATCACTCTTTCAACATCTTTCGACTCCAACTTCTTCATACTTAAAATGTTTTTCTTCCACTGGAATGTCTCTGTGTTCACCATGAGGACTGGCTGGGTGACACAGGGGTAGACATTGTCATCAAGAGGTAGCATCCAGCCATCCAGCACGACACCAACCCTAGAATGAATGAATGAATCACAGCTGTTAGAGACAAGAAAAAGCAATTTACAAATGTAGATTTTTGTTAAATTTCTGTGAAATGAATATAAATGAGAAAAACAAAAAATTTAGAAATAATCAAAAATGATTTTAAAAAATATTTTCCATTTACAACTATTCACATCCCACCCAACTTCATTTATTCAGAAGACGCTTTCAAGAAATTTGTATTTAGTTTAGAATGAAATCGTATCTCCTTGCTTCACACTTTTTCCAGTCTTTACTTATATCTACTCAAATTATTGCACTACTGATTTGTGGCCTCTGCAAAACTAATTAAAATGCATTGCAGACTTGTATATATGAAGCTCAGCTTGCAAATTTGTCATATTCTCAATATTTACACTATTTTCAGTCAAACACTGTTTATGTACTGTGTGTCCTACTGAGTTAAATGCCTTTTCATAGCTATAATTAGTTTTATGTTATAATTATTATAATTATAACAGAGCACATTCACATGGGTTTAGAAAAAAAAAAAATCACCATCACAATGATCACAGTTACAATAAGTTTGTAATTCACTCCTTATGATGATCTCTGAGGAGATTGAAAGTAAATGGGTAAGAAAAAACTACAGTGCCTTCCTTATAAATTTCATCTTAACATCAAGAAATTGATTAGAGAACTAGAAAGGATTATTATAAAAAATATATAGGCATAATATGTCTATTATTCAATGAAAAATGTCTGAACGAAGATATGCTGCTTAATTATATATATATATATATATATATATATATATATATATATATATATATAAAAAAGAAATATAGTCTTAAAATGTGGTATATTTATGGGATAAAGTGCTCAATATCAGTGATAGAGCGTGTGTAAATATAAAAGTGAACATAGAAGTCAACACTTAGAGGCAACAGTCTGTTTCATGCTAGACGCAATCGTCAGGCCACGAGTGCAGTTATTTTTCTTGGCTATTTATATATACGGGTCAGTGGTGCTTTATGGGTAGTCTATTTTGGCAGTTATTTTACCAGAACTCATTTATTTGTTTGTTTATTTATTTACTTGGGTTAAATTATTTTGCTTGTTTTTATTTATTTTTATTTTTTATTTTTATTTCTTATCGTATATATTTTTTTATTTTTTATTTATTTATTTTTTATTAGTCAGTGTTTTTATTAGCATAGTAAAAATTTGTTTATATCGCTTATATAATAATTTTGTTTGGTTTTGATTTAAGCCGTATATATAAATAGCCGAGGAAAATAACAGCACTCGTGGCATGACAATTGCATCTAGCATGAAAAAGACTGTCGCCTCTAAGTGTTGACTTCTATGTTCACTTTTTTTATTTATATATATATATATATATATATATATAATTTTCAATCACTTACATCAATCACAGGGCAAAATACACGCTATCCAAATCTAAAAAAGTGTTCAATAAACAAACTGTAGATCAATATTTAGAACATTTTTGGGGGAAAAAAAAGAAGATACGACTCACCTGCTACTATAGTTTCACTCTTTGGATCAACAGGCTAGTTTGTTGATAACTAAACCAGCCTGATAGTCCAGAGGGTAAAACTACAATGGCATGTGAATATATATATATATATATATATATATAGTGAATGCTGGCAGTAATAAAACAATGCTTGATGCAAAAATAACAGAACTAAAATTTATACTAATAATAAATATACAATTATATTTGTGTCAAAACAAACAAGATGTACATTTATCACACATACACACAACAAAATGGTACATTTATCATGAAACATACACACACACACACAGTATTTTTACACACACATATATAAAGAAATATATATATATATATATATATATATATATATATATATAAAATACATAAAGGTTAATGGTCAGAGTTGAATCAGACCAGGAAACAGTGCTATTAAAAAGTGCTCAATACACATATAAAAAAAATAAAAGTAAAAGTAACATGCAGAACTTTTAACTTTAAAAACCAGGAGATCAGTTGAATCCACTATCTTGGTTTGAACCTTACAGTATCTTCAGGTGATTTTTATCAAATGACCTGTTAACGCTTTATTTAAAAAATAATAATGAAGGCAACATTATTATTTTTATAAAATAAACAAATGCATGGGTGTAATAGAAAGGAGGAGGAGTATGAAGAGAAGAAGGGGGAAGAGGAGACTAGCAAGTGTATTAAATGTATTGGTGGTGGTGGATAGGGGAGGGGTAATTGAAATGTATATTTTTTTTTTTTATCCAGCCTCATATGTGCTTAAGAGGAATTTCTTAATATGTATGCAAGGACTCAAAATTTCAGATTTCTGGTTCAAAAGGTTTTTTGGATCCAGAAATATCATATTTGCTAATTTTTCCTGTTGGCAGAGGTTGCAAATATTGTTGTGGTTGTTATAAAGCTTTGCCTCTTTTAAAATTAGTTTAAAAAAAAAAAAATAAAAAAAATAAAGCTTTAAGAGGTCATTTGATAAAAATTGCTTGAGGATCCCGTAAGGTTGAAACCAAGGTAGCAGATTCAACTGATCTCCTGATTTTTAAAGTTAAAACCTCTACATGTTATTTTTACTTTTATTTTTTTCATACGTGTATTGAACACTTTTTAATACCACTGTTTTCTGTGATCAAATATGGACTGGAATCCAACAAAATGATAGAATAAGCAACAAATAGGAAACATTTATAAATTTAACATGTTTTGCTTTTATTAAAGTTTCATCAGAGAATAAAATATGGAGGAGAAAAGAGAATGAAGCTTTAATAAAAGCAAAATATGTTAGATTTATAAACATTTCTTATTTGTCTCTTATCCTGCCTATGTGTGTATGTATGTATACTTACAGAAATATTGAAAAAATAAGAAATAGATTGTAATAAAAAAAGAAAGAAAAATTATGATTTAAAGCTTACTTAAATCTTTTATCTTTGGCCAATGTAGCTACAGCTGTAGCACCTCCAAAAGAATGCCCAGCAACACAGACCCACAACATATTCATCCGGTTCTGCAAACCAAAAAATTCAAATTACAGTAAAAAAAATTAAATTTCCAACATTCTAAAAACTAATACAATGCAATATTTATCATTTAACAATTTATAAAGAAATAAATGAGAAAACAATTTGTTATTCATAAATTTATAAACATTAACTAAATTATAAAAATATGTGAACCAACTATAAGGAAATCCTTATTTACCATTTTATAAAGTTTGAATTGATTGTCAATTAGCTGATATTTTGCCAACCATTTCAATAAATAATCTAATAATTAGTGCTTAATATTTTTAATGTAAATTCTAAAGAACAAAGAAAATGTATAAATTCATTTTCATCATGTTTAGGTTTTATTAAAATTCTAATCATTGCTTTTTAAAACAATAAATATTTTTGCCAAGTGGAGATAGTTAAATTAATAGTGGTGTCAAGGGAAAAACTCTCCTTTTGACACACCATTTTTTTGAAGGTTAAACATTGATAAATTTTTTTTGAAACTGTAACAAAAACCTCAAAAAAAAAAAAAAAAAAAAAAAATAAATGTCCATCAATGTCTTTAAATAAAACATTTTCAGAAAATTGATAATATTTCCATGTAGTCTTGCTAATGATATAACATTAATAAGTGGTGAAGTCTTAATAAACTCAGAGGGATCCAAAAATTAACCAGCTGGGTGGGAGATGTTTATTTGGCACCTGAGAATATATAAAGAAAAAAAAATAAGTAGTTTCTATACTTTCCTCATTAATAAAATAAGTTGCAAGAATCAAAATATAAAAAGGATATTTATCTTATTTACAAAGCTTAGTTTGGCACAAGGCCACAACAGTTGGGCACACAACGATAATCCAACTGATTAAAAAAGTGAATTGATAAACAAGACTAGCTTGCTAACCATTAAACTATAACATTATAATCCAAGAATAGCTTAACTCCATTATTTTCTTTAAATAACCATTGGTTCAAATTCTGAGATCCATGTAATTTTCAAACAAACATCTTTGCTGTTGATATGACGACATTCCAGATGATGTATTTTGGGATCATCTTGTAATGTCTCACCTCATAAGATGAAATAATTCTATTATTCTATATATCATTCAGACATGCAAATTCTATATTTTGAGAGATAAATTTCTTGATCCCCTTGTTAAAACTACAGCCAGTCTTTAGAATTCATATCATACTTCCCACTTGATCACTTTTCTACTTCTATTTCATCTTCTTGACAATATACTAGTCCAACAGAATAACAGGGAATATATTTTTTTCTTTAACTGACTTCACCTCAAAGCCAGTAAGACACAAGGGGTTACTGGGTGTGGAAGAACTAGAAAACAGAAACATTATGAAGGGGTGATAACAATAGAAGAGTAATCAGGAAGACAGTATATAATGATTGACATTGCATTTTAATGTAATGGAATAACCTGTCATCCCCATGAGTGATTACACTATAGGTAGTAACTACCTATAAGTATCTGTAATCAATGGACTACAGAGTCTAGCTGTGACCTGTTCCAGCTAAACAGTTGAACTCTGCCTTTGGGCAGAGAGGAACCCGTACGAGGCTCCACCGAAGGGCAGAGAGGAACCCGTACGAGGCTCCACCGAAGGGCAGAGTCTCATTTGGGGAGGTAGACTGCCCCTGAACCCATTTATACGGGTTTAAAAGGGAATATTTTTGGCCGAGCTTATGTGCTCGGAGAACCCACATTAAACCAGCCTTGTGCCACATACAACTGTTTTGGTAGCTAAATATACTAGCTGGGATCTGTTGAGTATGACTCAGACTTATGCTAGAACTACCGACCTTCCAATAGTAGCACTCACTACTGGATTGACTTGCGATGACCTTGTGAATAACTTTTACCGTTATGCTTATTGTACTGGTTGTTTACAATAAACCTTTACTTACTTATCCACCTTGTTTTTCAAATATATATATTCCTATTAGCACGGAATATAACTCATTTAAATTTTTGAACATCAAAGTTGACTGGAAAGCATGGAGCCTGAAGAGAATTCCACAAGTGAGAAGTGCTGAAAAGAAACTGTTAACATAGAACTTCCAGTAACATCTAGCCAACTCAGCTGCAAATTGATAAGACCCAGTCGACAGTCTAGTACTATGCTTAAATCCATAAAATCTAGGTACCATAGTGAAAAGGTCATCTGAACATTTACCATGAAAGTATTTATAGAAAAGACACAGGGAAGCAATTTTATAGTGATGGGAAAGTGACTGAAGACAATATTCCAGGCCAGGACCAATAATAATGCAGATTTTTCTTTGGCTTTTATCAAGGATCTCTAAATATATAGTAGAAGCACCAGAACAAATGTGGCAGCAATATTCTAAGCATGGATGAATGGTAGACTTATAGATATGTAAGATAGATTTTGGAGAGAAAATTGTCTAGCCTGACACAGTGAACTGACTTTCTTAGCAGCTGACATAGCAATGGATTCAATATAGTCCTTCCACACCATGTCAACTAAGAACATTAGTATAAGAAGGTGTAACGATTCACTCTCCTGGAGGTTAGCATCAGCCATGCAGATGGAAGGCAAAAAGGGGTCTCTCAGACGATTAACAGAGAGCAGTTCCTGAAATTTATCATGCTGGAATCCATCAACATTTACTACATGAGGTTTCAACCAGATGATTGGTTGTGTTCACTAATTCTTACTGCTATCCTATTAACTGTGACAGAAGTTTATATATACACTGATGAGCCAAAGAAGCATAATATGAGAAATTCCCATCATCTCCAGTTAATGAATTAATACCTAATCACATGAAGAAGAGGAGACGTTTTTGCAAAAGTTTATCTATTTATTGCTCTACAGATGCAATCTTATGCAAGGGATGCTTCCTTTTCAGAAAATTGCTTGTTAGTTTTGTACTTTTTCACTTCCTTGTCATGTACTTTTATTCCTCAGTTGCTTCCCTTTTCCTTGGTTATACATCATGTTACAGTTTTATTTTGTTCTTTGGTCATACAATTATATATAGCTTATATCAGGTTACAGTTTGATTCTTTGGTTATATAGAGTGTAGCAGAAATACCTCCCATATATACCTCCCACATAATAGTAAGGTATTAGCTAAATGAAGACATCATTGCTACTAATGTCTTATTATTATGTGGCAGGTATTTCTGTCACATTCTCTACAATTATACCATGTCTACATCTTGTTTTATTTTATTCTCCATCAGTCAATAAGGTAGCTTTCAAAATTATTAAAAAACAGAAGCATTTACTTTAACAAATATGAAACAGTATATGCATTTTATTATTATTCATGATACATTGAGAAGATAAGAAAAGAAACTTTTGTCATTAAAATTTAATTTAAAAAGAAATAAACTGAAACAAAGTTTTAGATCTTTCAAAAAACAAAAACACTGCCATAAAAGAAATAAACAGTAGCTACCTTAAAGTCATTCAGATCCACTTGTGATGGTTCTAAATTGTCCAATTCTAGGCCATCATTAATTTTGCAGAGAATGTCCAGCACTTTTATACATTCTTCTGTTCGCTGTTGGAGCTGAATAATAATAATAATAATAATAATCATCATCAACATCATCTCCCCACCATTTAACTCTAATGAATATAATTTTTTTTTTAATAAACTCAGTATATATGGAAAGAAGAAATAAAAAATGAAAGAAGAAATTAAAAAAAACATGAAGACCAATAAATTTTAACAGAATTTGAAAGAGCAGACTGATGTCTGCTAGTGCTTTTTTACATGAATCAAAGATTGTGCTGTGGTATCCTGACATGATAATATGGTAAAATATTTTTTACCAAAATTGATTTAATATCCTTTCAAAATTATCAATAATTATCAATAATGTAGAAAGTTAAAAAAAAATAAAAAATAAAAAAAATAAGGCTGATCCAATTTTTTTTTCTCTTTAAATACCAAGTCCTTTCAGGATGTAAGGAATCATAGCTTTTCCCACTTTTCTTTGTCTGTGAATTACCATGTACTCTTAGGAAAGATAGTGGAGTTTCTTTTTCCTGATGCCTTTTACATGATTTTAAATTTAGTGTGGTCCTTCTCCTAGACTGACAGCAATCCAAGGCTAGAAAGCTATATAGCCTACTATTTAACACATAGCAAGGAAGTTAAGTAAATGGAATCATGCCTTTCACAAGGGAATTTGTGAAAAAGATACTGCAACAGACTGGGTAGGAATTTGAACTCAATTTGCAGATTCCACTTTCCACACTGCTCAACATTACGCTATTACTATCATGATCAAATTGTTATATCATAAAAATATTTGTTCAAGGACATTATTAAAAAGGTATGTGAGTTTAGAGGTTAAATTTCAGTGAAATCAACATTTACAAATATTTATATTTGTATGTAAAGATAAATATTTATCTTTCAACAAGAAATGACCTTTTTAAACTTTTAACTAATAGAAAATAGTGTTTTTTAACCACCTTTCCATGGACATGCACTATTTATAACATCTTTTGCCACCACCTACACCCAGTAGTGTAACTATGTTTTTGTGGTTCAGTCCTCAGGGTCTTAGAACTCTGCCCACATTGTGTTCTTGATCTCAGAGTAGTGAAAAATCAAAGACCATAGTCTTGCAGCACTGGTTCAAGCTATGATGGGTGCTACATTAAAAAAAAAATATCTTCACAATGAAAAATAAAATGAGAGATTCATGGAGTTAATCGTCAATTGGTTTATATAGCTCTTGGTACAACAAAAATTAACCCTTTCTGTATCAATCTCTATAGTGACACTAGGCCTTGTCTAAACTTCTGGAGAGGCTGGGTTCAACATGGGTTCTCAGCCCAAAGTCATATGCTTATATGCACTTTGGCATAAAACTGGCATGGGGCTGAAGGGTTCTAGGAATTCGGTGATTCTCCAGTTTTCATTAATTCCAATAAAGGTTTTCTTTGTTCCCTATTTCTGCTTTCTAAATCAACTTTCCAAATTTGGAGAATTATCCACCTTCCTTGGGAGTAGTCACAAAGATTGCTCTACCCTTAACTGTAGCCTGCTTCACTTCATACCTCACACCACTACTCAACACAGGTGAGCCTAAATTCTGCCCCTTCCTTCTCAGTATTCTAACTCTGCCCACTTCTCAGGGCTGGCATAATGGTCTTTGTGACAAATCTAATTTTTAAAGTGCATAAGAGAAAGGGCATGGTTTATCCTCCTCGTTAATTTCAATTCTCTGACTCCTTTCCTGTCCATCAAAAATATAAATCAGATCACCTTCTCATTTTAACCTTCTGAGCAATAGATAAAAATTATTTCACAATTTGTTTTTGTCAATGAAAATATATTTGTTTAACTAAATTCTCAACAAAAAAGACATGCCGTTTCTTGGGTCGGTCACTATCTTAGTGAAAACCTAAACCAGATCACCTGCCTGTTATAACAGATCATTTTTCATAATCTTAACCTGCACAGCAGAATCATTCATGGTTTTCATTTAATTTTTTGCTAATGAAAATAATTCCCATCTGCTTCTATTTTCACCAATAACATGTTTTTCTAATTTCCTAAGAAAAAGATAAAGCCATTTCCCAAATGCCAGATTTTTGATAGATGAAAAAAAAAAAAAAAAAAAAAAACTTGCACATCATTCCAATTCGTAGGGTTGAGGCAACTCAAATATCACTTTCTTCACTTCCACATTACCAGGAAAAATGTCTTCCATTCTCACTTTCTATTTTCCAATTTATATTTCCTTTTGGGCTTAACCCTTTTTCTGCTTAGAATTAATGTTTAACCACCTCACAGCCTCAGTGTCACACTATAGTGTCCATTGAAGGAACATCAACCTCTAGTGAGTGATATAGCTGCCATAGCCACTTGTGTTTAAATTGTAGTGAATAAAGAAAATAAGAGAGAAAAAAATAAAACTAAAAAATAGGTTCATTCCTGACTGATAAAATTATTGATAAAAATGGTTAAGCTTGATTTCCAGAAATCCAATATATTGAAGCATAAGGTCATAGCTTCTGTTCTATCTATTTATATATATTTATTATATATTATATTTATATATTTAGAAATTTTACCATTGAAATTGTTATCTCCAATTTATCCTCTAAAACAAGAATTTGTTTTTCTTTTTAAACTGCAGAAAGTTTTCTTACAAATAATTCAATAGAATAAAAATTCATATTTCAAAAGAAATCTTACCTGAGCATTTCTAACCATAAAGTCATCCCACGTGTCATATCTTTCAAAAATCTTCCATTCTTCTTCATATACCTGGGAAGTTGGTGAGGATGGTTGATTATCATCAGGGCTGGAATCTTCAGTACTGCTTCTGCTGGAAGACTTCAATGGGTCAACAGAGCTATATCTGTTAAGGTAATAAGTGGCGGATGCTGAACCATCCCTGAAAAGAAAGAATTGAGATAAAGAAAGAAAGAAAATAAGAAAACTTTAGTGATGCGAATGGACCATAAAAGAACAGGATTCTGGAAGACAGAACATGATGATCGACATTGCATTTAAAGGTGAGAAGTGTCAAAAAAAAAAAAAAAAATCTATTAAAATAGAAATTACAGTTACATCTATTTCAACAGTAAAACGATGAGACCTAGTTGCCAATCTAGTAGTAGATGGTAAAAAATGCCAAGTCAGGACTGATAACATTACAGATTCCTCTTTGGATTTTGTTGAGAATCCAGAGATACATAACAGGTTCACCAGAGCAGATATGGCAGCAATATTCAATGGGTAATTTTTTGGTGACAAATTATTTTTAATTTGGTAATGATGCACTTGTAGAGACTGAAATTACAAAGTGCATGCATGTTTTTCAAATCAAATGTAAAAAAGATAGTATGTGTTACTCTTAAAATTCCAATAAATACAAACTCGAATTTTGATAATGCTTTAGAAAGGGCATTACATATTTTATTACCACTTTAATTTATGTAATAATTTTGACTTCAAATTTAAGCAGTATTGTTTTTCTTTGTTGGTTACAAGTAACTTAATACCCAAGCTTGGCTTATCATTGCTTCTACAAACAACTTCCATCTACACACACACACACACAAAAGTCTTTCTCCTATTTTATAAACATGGAGCAGTCTCAAGCTACCTGTCAGCAGCTTCTGTTTACCCAAAGGGACACCTGAAGGTCAACAATTTCTATTTATGGGCAAGCATCTAAATGCCACCCACAACCCCCTTACTGTTTTAGATAAGTGGTTATTCAAACATTGAAAGTCAAAAAAAGCAGTTAAACTAAACAGGCTATCAAATGGAACAAGAAAACAACAGCTTCTGGTAAAAAGATCAGCCATGTGTGTGTGTGTGTGTGTGTGTATATATTTTTCTTCTATGTGCTATGTCCCTTCAAGATGTAGGCAATCATGGTGCTCCACAATTTCCTATCCTTTGTAGCTCTTAGCAGTGCTTTTTTTTTTAATGTCATAAACTAAAAAAACATGAGTATATAATAATAATAATAATAATTCTTCATCTCAAAAATTCTGACAGAAATCATTAGATAGCAGGTTGAAGGACAACCTAGCATCTATTGACCAGAATATACAAAAGAATTCTTGGCAAAATAATTCTTTAAATAGAAGAGCAAGATTTGAAGAAAGAAACTTGTGTAAACATTCTTTTTGAAAAAAGTCTGTTTCTTTCTGATAAATTTTGAAGTCAGATTACTGTTTCTCACACTCTTTACAATTTGAACCAGTCCAATAATGCACATATTAGTGAGATTGGGCACATGCATTCGACGTTTACATGAGAAGATATGAAACCCCTTGACTGTTACGTCATTATCATCATGTAAGTTTTCCCAAAAGCAATACTCATCTTATAATTGTAAGTTTGCTGAGTTAATTTTTATTATTAGTAGTACAGGTTGAGAATCTTTTATCCGAAATTTTTGAGACCAGAAGTGCTTCAATTTTCAGATTGTTTTGGATTTTGGAATACAGGCTATTTACATTATTTGGACTAGTGTCCTCATCTTTGTCACCATATTTATTACAATGTTGTGGCCGTTGTTTTGGCCTTCTTTGGGTGGTTGGAATGTCGAACTGAACCCTTTATTTTGCTCACTGGGGTAGACTGCTCTAGTTCTACGTGCCATGTTTAATGGATGTCAGTAATCATTTATCTCCTTTTCATTCCCCTCTCCAAGTTCTCCACTGCCTTAACCGGGTATTGAACTCAAACTCTTAGGGTCCTGTCACTGGATCTAACCAATACTTTATCCACTGTGCCATGTGTCCTTGAGTGGATAAAGGCATTGGTTAGATCCAGTGATGGGACCCTATGTGTGTGAGTTCAATACCCAATTAAGGTAGTGGAGAACTTGTACAAAAGAAAACATGGTCACTACTTACAATAAATATATAAATGCAGGACTTTTTGACATTTTGAATATCTTTACTAAGCATGAAACACCTGGTAAGTAATCCACAAACGAAGATGTTGCTGTGATGATCACTAACAAAAACTGGTGTCAACGTAGGTTACATAGCTGGGCTGTGGAACACCCACCCAGAGCAGATGAGGTCACTTACAACAGCCAGAAATATAGTCATTATTATCAGTTAAAAATGTTATCCAACTGTTACTTTTTCCTGCCACAAAAATCAAAGTTGTCCTGAACAGCCACACTTGTAGATCTTTTTGTACTAATGCAGGTGTCCCCCAGGGTTCTATCCTTGGACTTTGTATTTAATTTTCATCAGTGAACTTCCTGATGACATCAGTTTTCAACTTGGTATCTATGCTGATGACACAAACATTTACTCCAATCTTGGTAGTAAGTATAGAACCCAGTTAAAAATTGTAGGAAAAGAAAAATCAATAGATTTAAGTAGTATCACTAAAATCCTAATTCTGTGCAAAGTAGGATCATGCAAATGTCAAATTCAAATTCCCACATTAGCATTTACTGACCAATCAGCAAGGTTGTATCAAATGCAATTCAAGTTTTAAAAAAAGCAGACAACCATTTCTTGTAATATGCTAAAAAAAATGTAGGCTCATGTTAAATGATTAACAATATTTTCCCTCTTAAAAATCAATATTTAAAATTAGGAAATATATTTATTAACGAATAAAACTTCTGAGTTTATAATAAACCTTTTAACTTCCTGTGATCCGATTTTTTTCTTATAAATAATGTAATATAAATTAATAAACTAATTTTTCATGATATCTTTGACTTGGATTTAAATAATACCAATTACTCACATTAACTTACTGAGTACTAAAGTTCCTTTGTGTAAATTATTTCTCACTTTTAAGGTATTTTCATAAACCAGTTTGCACAGAAAATACCCAAGTGACTCATAAAAAAAAAAACGTAACTGTAAAAGCAGTAGTACTGATATTAATTGACTGACTGCCTGCAGCTAATTTTATGCTACACACACACACATTATATAACGTAAATTGTGGATTTTCCCATAATTTTACACATACTTTTCACACTTTACTAACACAATTCATCTCTTTTGTATTGCAAAAAAAAAAAAAAAAAAAACTTTGTTCATATGAGCTTTATTTGCAATAAACTTTATAACTTGTTTCTACCAACTTAAAAGAAAACAAAGATTATTTTTTGTTTGGAGGATTATTATTTGCCCATAACTGGGACCCTCAGAGGTGCTGCCACCTTGATTCAGGATGGACCTGGGAACAACAACAATTAAGAGGTGATTCTGTGTTTCTCAAAACCTCCAATCTCCCAATCAGAGGCCTTGCAACTGGACGTAGTTTATCATCATTCCCAGGACTGCTAATTTATAGTAATATGAAGGTAAATTCTTTAAAAAATGATTATTTATGGTTGCATTTCCTATTGTATAACTCCAGCAAAACAATAAAGTTGATAACAAGTACCATATATACTTGTGTATAAACTGATTTCATGTATAGTGCAATCAGTGGATTTATTTTGCATTAATTTTAACCACCTCCAGAAAAAAAATTACCTGCGTACAGTGCAACCCCCTATTTTTTTGTGTAAAAATCTGATCATAAAAACTTGCAATATACTCATGTATATGACGCATCTGGCAGAGAAGTGGCATATTCAACATTTGGTAATATTGTGGCAAAACGTGCTTAAAGGGTTTTGTCAGTTTTGATCAATATTTCTTTTCATGTTTAACCGTAAGGAATTGTAAATGTAGGACTACCTTACATTTAAGTAATAAAATAAGAATAATAATATTTATTAAGAATTTATTACAAGAAATATCAAATTTTATGGAAACATTGTTGACAATTATGTATTTAGTTACATAACAAATAAGTAAAAATAATATAAATTTTGATGCTATATTCAATTTGTTGTTAGGTATTTTTCATTTTCTCCTTTGGTATTGGCAGCAGTTTCCTAAATTGAACAAATTGGAGCTATTTCATTTACACCTTGTTACCTCTTTTTTCCATTGTTGTTTTTAGATCACTTTCTTCGTCATTTTGATGAGCAATGGTGAAATTCTGAAATTTAGAATGATCTTATTCCATTTAAAAAATAAAGCCTGTAGAAAGGAATATTTTAAATTAATATATAACCAAAAATAAAATGCTTTTGACAAAAACCTTTAATGATCTCACGATAATTATGTAACAATGTAATGATATTCTGCAGACAAATCTACAGTTTATCTTATCTCATCTCATTGCATGATTATGAACTATAAACCTAATTTTTTTTTTGTAAAATACTTGGATACGATATAATTAATAATTTTCAGTGAAAAGAGCAATTTTTGATTTTTTTGTTGAATACACCCCCCTCTTCTGCCGAACGAGTCATATACATTAGTTTATTTTCTGGCACTTCATGTATTTTACTTGTCATTGGCAAATTAGCTGCTTTTATGATATTTCTCTAAAGACAAGCAAACTTAACACAACAGAAGGAGGTAGACAAAATATAATGACTGAAATGAGTTAAAAACAACAAAATACAGAATAATTAAAATACTTTATATCAGAACTTCAGACATTAGAAGGTCAAAAAGGTTAAAATATACAAAAACAGGAAAGATTAATCATTTGAAAAACATATAGGATAATGAAAATAATTAAACTCAAAAGTTAAGAAAGCTATCAACCATTCTTATATAAAAACATTTATGTTTAAAAAATGCAGAGCCTTATTAAACACCTCTTACCTGTGTTCTAAGGCAGCAACAATGAAACCTTGGGAGGAAAGATCCAAGCACACAGTAGAGTATGTGGTACGGATACCCCCAAGGCCATGGGAAAACACAATGACAGGGAATTGGTTACAAATTTCTTGAGGCAGCAGTGGAGCATCCCAAAGAGCAGGAACATACACCTCACCTGTAAAAATAAAAAAAAAAGAGAAAAATATATCTTATGCAGAGTATGTCACAAAGAAATGCTAGAACTGCCAGGTAACCTTGATATATTTGGGAAGAATATTGCAATAATCTAGAATCTATACTGGCAGCAAAACACCTGCATACAGATAAAAAATGAATTCAGTAAATATACAAAAAAAAAAAAAAAGTTGTGTAAAAGAAGGATGTGTCTTCTCCCCAGACTTATTCGATCTTTACAGTGAGGTGATTCTGATAAAATTAGAAGTTTTACCGGGATTCATTATTGGTAGCCACAATCTTAATCACATATGATATGCAGATGAGACAGTATTGATAGCAGATACAGAAAGAAAACTACAAGAACTTCTACAGAATGTAGAAGGAAAGTAAGAAGAAAGGACTAAATGTTAATTGCAAGAAGACAATGTATAGTTGTCAGCAAAAAGAACAGCTCAACATGCAAATTACTAATTGGAGATACCAAATCAAGCAAGTACAACAATTTGAATATCTAGGAAGTGTTTTAATACAGGACAGATGGTGCAAAATTGAAATCCAAAGGTGCATTAGTATAGTGAAAGATGCCTTCCAAAAGCTAAGCAAAGTATTAAGAAACAGGAAAATTTCATTAGAAATGAAGAAAAGAGTACTTAACTGTTATACAATATTAGTTCTCCTATATGGTAGTGAATGCTGGACAATCTCATCACAGATGAAGAGACTTGAAGCAACAGAAATGTGGCTCTACAGAAGGATGCTGAGTATACCATGGGCTGAACATATGAGCAATGACAAAGTTTTAGAGAAAATGGAAACAAGAAGGAAACTTATACTTATCAGAAAGAGAAAGTTGAAATTTCTAGGGCACATAATGAGGAAAGAGTGCTCTGAAAATTTGATACTCACAGCACAGATTGAAAAGAGTAACAGAGGAAAACAATGCATAACTGACCTAGCGAACTTGAGTAAATGAATGGCAGAACAGGGTTTAGGTGAGATAACAAAGAAACAAAATTAATTAATAGCTACAAAGGACAGGAAATTGTGGAGAGTCATTCTCTCCCACATCTGAAGTAATGTAACATGTCAATGTTAGATGTAGTCCAATAGAAAAAGAAAGCAGGTTATATGAATTCATGTATTAGTGTTTTTGTAGATGCCTGCAAATAACAGTGGATATATGACCATGTTGAATCAGTTGTAGAGGAATTAGAAATTCAGCCACTTGAAAGTAGAAACATCAATGTCAGTTCTAATAGCCATACAATAACTCAACAACTAAAAATGTTTTGAGTTGTATTTTGAAGCTTCTAACAATATGAAGTTGAAGCAATGTATTACGTTTGGATCCTTAGTAGAAAAATACCTTATGAACTGATTGTGTGTTTCTAAAAAGTATTATATTGATGTTGCATAATGGATTTTATTACATTTGCAATAAAGATGCACATAGCTTTTTCACAAACACCTTTGGTGGGAAAAGTATGACCCCCAACCCCCCAACACCACAAGCTATGGGTTAACGTAAAAGAATTGTGTTATAATGGATACTACCTGCCTTAACTATAATTATAATGGAATTATAATTAAATATTTAAACAAACTTGACATGAAAAAAAAAAAAAAAAAAAACAATAGAGGATGCAGATTATAATAATTGCAATGAGGTTATGCCAGAGATATGGTGGTGACAGCTAATCTATTCTGTACAGGTGGACTTCTCAGACAGCACTGTCAACCAGATGAGTTAAATTGTAAGTTATGAGCTAATGTTAATTCAAAGACATTTAACACCAGAATCAAGGCAAAGTGAGCAAAGTAAACAATGGAATTTTTTCTTATTCTGCTTCAACCATCCACAAGGCCTTTGAAAAAGTTAAAAGAAAAAGGAACCTCAGTCAATATCCTCTCTATTTGTTATATTCCTCACAATCTTATAATTTCTTAAACTATTTCTTTAAATTGAACTTTTGCACAAATGATATAATAGTTTTATGTATTCTTTCTCTTATTAACAGGACAGCTAAAAATCACAATTCAAAATCTCAACAATGATTGGTTGATTTTATTTACTAGCATATCAACTTCTATGAATTATTTAATGCCAAAATTTAAATATTTTTAATGTAATTTTATGCATACAACTAGATATTTTGTACATAATTTTATACTTTCAGGACAGACATATGATATTTAGATATATAGTTTGTAGACCACAAAATGTATTATTGATATTTTGTTTTAAATGTATTGCTGGTAATTTTACTATAAAAAAATATATGTTTATACCTTTTTTAGTCTTCTAAAGATTGTCATTTTGCTATAAAAATCTATTGTTGGTAATAATTTTTTTTTTATAAAAATGTATTGCTGGAAATTTTACTATAAAAATGTATTTTTATACTTTCCTAGTGTTTTCATTTCTTTTTGGGATTTCACTATTTGCCCATAGCTGGGATCCTAACAAGTGCTACCATCCAAGGTGAGAGTGGACCTGGGAAAAACAGTAATTAAGAGGTAGTTCCACACTACTCAAAACCTCCAATCTCACAATCAGAGGCCTTGCTGCCAGGTGTAGTTTATTGTTATACACAGGACTAAAAATCTCAAAAAATTTCTCTTCTGCTCCCAATCTCCTTGAATCATCTACAATTTTCAAAGATTTCCCTTATAACTTCTATCACTAGAGCTGATTTTAGTCAATTTAGGACATTTGAACAAGCCAACCAAGAATTTATCTCTGTATTATTCATAAGAATAGAAATAAAATGCAAAAATTTTCCATACAATTTTTATGCTTTGGGCATCAATATACCAGGATAGGTGCTGTATTGGAATTTTTGTGTGGATAAACAGGTCTGCAAGTTACAAGAGGAGAAACTAATAATTCTTAACTAAACCAAGTAGATAGGTTCATTTGAACATATATAGATATTTATTTTTACTAATACTCACCCTATACAAAGCCCAAGAGTTACTGAAGACAGTTGTTGCATGAGTGGTAAGATTAAGGGGCATAGTTTATGAGAATATGCATGAAAGATAACAGTTATTCCTAGATTTAAAGAGGTTAAGATTGTAGTGCTCGGGAAAGCATCGTTCTGAGATTCTGTTCCACAAAGCAACAGTTCTTGAGAAGAAGCTATCCAAATGGAACTTACTCCTTACTAATGGAATACAAAGGGAGTGAGAGTGGTTCACCTCATTGTACATGGTGTGACAAGTGTTAAATGGAAGGATTAGAGTTGGGGGAACAAAATAATGTCACTTGTTTGAACATTTTCTGTGGTGGCTTCATATTTATTAAACATTTCTGTTAGATGCAAAATAATCTTCTATGATTTGATTTTTTCCAATTTTTGAGGAAGAGAATGAAAATTGTTTGGAAGAGGGTGATTAGTCCGGTCAGATCACGTTGAAACATTGGTTCTCATACAATCACCAAAGTTAAGCAATGTCAAGCCTGGTCAGTACCTAGATGGGTGACTGGTTGGGAATACCAGGTGCTGTAAGCTTGGATGCGTTGGGTTCATTTTGTTCTGTGCTAATAGGAATATGGACTGGACAAACACAGTGGATAAACAGTAACAGGTTTATTGTAGAAACCAGTACAACAAGCAAAGAAGTAATAGTTATGCACATGGTTGTCGCAAGTCAGTACAGTTGTGTGCATGCTGCTATCAGAAGGCTGCTAGTTCTCGTAGAGCCCAGCTCAACTCCCCTGTCCGCTGTCCTAACAGATACTTATAGGTGGTTACCACCTATAGTGCCGCTATAGTGGCAGGTTATTCCATTACTTCAATTATAATCACTTACATGCAAATACCCTGGGGAAAGGTATGAATCCACCACTTCTCTCCCCAGCTATGTATTAATTAGTAAGACTTGTATCACTAAACCATTATTATCTCCAAAAAATATTCTTAAAATCTAAAAATATTTTCTGGCTTTAAAAGGGTTGATAAGCTGTAGGAAACACATCAATAAAAACAATAATAATGTCCTTTCCAACATTAAGGTTTTGTGTCTTGATGGATGGGAATCTGGAAGGGATTAATCAGGGTTCACACTGACAATTAAATAAAACACCTCCAGAAATTATTTTATATTGCCTTTGAATGAAACCTTGGGATTGGACATTTAATTGGTTGGAGAAAGAAGCTACAGAGAATGAGATAAAAAAAGTGTAAGAGTTCTTGGATTGCAAAGGAAAATATTTGTTGAAGATTACTTCCACAATGAAGAGAACAAATCACTGTAAGTTCAGACTTAAAGATCAGGGGCAGAAAGAAAATGCCAAAATCTCGATTTGCAGGTACTATGTCACAAATCACAATGCATGTAACTAGTCAGAAAAATAACTCACTCATGGATGACAGCCGCAGTAGCTAAATACACAAATTTTGTATTTTTTCTCCCTGATTTGAGAACACCAACTGCTTTTATTGACCGAGCATTTTTTTCGTTCATCAACAACTGGAAGAAGACACACAATATTAGCATATCAAAATACTTTTATGGCGACTCCTGTGACTGATTTATTTCTAATTTGAATATTCCATCTTCAGCATATCATGCAGAATATGTGCCCTTTTATTCGGCAAGTAACTTTCTTTTTCACCACGGTTTCCATCGTAGGATACACGCAACATGCTGTCACTTGGTTTGACAAGGTAATTCACCGTTTTCTTCACTATAAAAATGTTAACAAATGAATTGGTTAAAGAAAAAAAAGCTGAACTATGTCCTTTTTTATAGCCACAGTTAGATATTAGATCTTTCTGCCACTTTAAGGGAATTCCTTGAGTTTCAAACATAAAATCCTGGTACAAACATTTTCAATGACTGCAGAAAGATAAAATTAACAATCCAAAGTCATTCAAACAGTGGAAACTACCAATGAACTGAAAGATAAAAATATATAAACAAACATTTCAAAATAGAAGTCATCCCACTAGGTGGAAAACTGAAGAGACAACTGTCCAAAAAATTTAAAGGCACTCTTAAATTATTTTTTTTTCAGCAAGGTTAGAAGAGATTGTTTATTTCTTAGTCTATTTATAAAAAAATATATATTTATATACAAACATTTAAATATAAAAAAAAGAAATACTGAATATTTGTAGTTCTACAGGCTAAAGTCAATATTAAGTATGATCTTTGCCTTGGAATTTGAACTCATTCTATCAATTCTATTTTCCCAAGATAACAATCATTCAAACTGGCCCTCTAATCTTCAAGAATTTCTTTCTGAGAAAAAAAAATCTCAAAATTATCTTTAAAGAATTTTGTTTGTAACATATACAGACAGAATCATACAACTGACTTTAAAATAAGTCTATCGTCATTCTTTTTTTAATCATTTCACCTCAAGAAAGGCAATAAAGCCACTAGGATGCAAGAGGTTAATGAGTGTTATAGAATATGAGAGAAGCTACTATTAAGGAGAGAGAAAAATAAAAGAATAAAAATTAAGAAGACAGAAGATAACAATTGACATTGCATTTAAATTTTGGAAGATAAAATTTGACTGAAAAGCAGGAAGACAGATGAGAGTTCTGCAAGCAAGAAGTGTGATAGAAGAAACTGTTAGCATAGAACTTACAGTTACATCTAGCAGCCATTTCAATTGTAAATTGATGAGGTATTGCCACCAATCTAGTACTACACTTAAATTCATATCATCTAGGTGCCATAAAGTTTATCAGAACAATTACTATGAAAGTATTTATAGAAAAGGCACAGGAAAGCTATGTTACAGGAAGTTGAGATGCCAGGTCAGGACCAATAACACTGCAGATTCTTTGGATTTTATCAAGAATCTCTAAATATATAACAACAGGAGCACTGAACCTTATGTGGCAGAAATATTCAAAGCAAGGATGAATAGTAGACTTATAAATATGTAAGATAGATTCTGGCGAGAAAAATTGTCTTGACTGACATAGTGAACCAAATTTCTTAGCTTCAGACTTAGCAATTGATTCAATATACTCTTTCCACTTCATGCCAACTGAAAACATTAATCCAAGAAGGCACAATGAGTCACTCTCCTGGAGGTTAGCATCAGCTATACTGATGGAAGGTAAAAAGGGTTCACTCTGATGATTAGAAGAGAGCAGATTTATTTTGGTGGTGTTAAAATTAACAGGCTACTCCTTGCCCAATTTAACAACAGATTGTAGGTCATTTTTTAGATCAAATATTTGCTGGATTTGTTGATGGAGAATTGTAATATTGAATTGTCCTTGTTTCTTAACAATACCAACACAAAATTATTAAAACACTGATACATAGAACTCACATTGAAGTTCATTCATTAAAAAAAAAAAAAGATAAAATAAGAAACCTCATCAAAAGAAGTTTTAAAAAGAAAAACTCACCTCCAAACCAGTCAAAAAGACAATTGTAAAAGGTAGAATTCTCTTTTCCAAGAAAGTGCATGTAACCATCTCGGTACCGTGGTTTGGGTAGCCATTTTGGCCATCTTGGACAACTGGTTTCCTCCTGCCAAGGAAACAATATCAAACTTTAATATAAAAATACTTAGACAAATAATTTAATGAATTCTTAAAGAGGTTTTCCAAAGATGGATTGGAAAAGTGAAAGATGCCAAAAGTTAAGCAAATTATTTAGAAATGGGAAAATTTCATTAGAAACAAAGAAAAGAGTACTAGACTGTTATGTAATAGTGGTCCTACTATATGGCAGTCAATGCTGAACAATCTCCTCACAAATGAAGAAGAGACTTAAGCAACAGAAATGTGATTCAACAGTAGGATGCAGAGAATACACTGAACTGAACATGCGAGCAACAACAATGTTTTAGAAAAAAATGGACTTGAAAATGACATTTATACTTAGCATCAGAAAGAGACAGTTGATATTTCTAGAGCATATAATGAGAAAAAAAGGCTTGGAAAATTTAACACTCATGGGACATGTTGAAGACAAGAGGGACTACAGGAAAGCAGCAAATAACCTACCAAACGTGCTTGTGTAAGAACAGGGATTAGGAGAGATAACAAAAAGACAAACATAGCTAAGAACTACAACGGATAGGAAGTTGTGGAGAACAATAATCACACACATCCTGAATGGACATGGCAGATAGAAGAAGAATCATACTAATATTAAGAAAGTTGCCATATTACATTGACCTGATAAATGCTTTACATTTGTTTGTCATTTTCAGCCATGCTATTGCAAGTCTATCATGGATGGCTTACCATAGCATAGTGCTTAGTAGGCTCTTCTCATAAACTATTGAAAATTCAGTTCTTACTAAGTAAACAACATTAGTAGCCATGTGCTGTATCAAGCTAAAGTTATGTGGGGAAAATAGCAATTGGGTGGTTCGGATCAAAAAATCATAAGTCCGGGTTTTGTAATTCTAAAGTTTAGAAATCAGTCTTGCAAGTCCAATGTCAGAAAATGTTGGGAGACTGTAAATAAAACTGGATCAAAAATCCGTATCGACTTACAATGCACAACTAACTTCTTCACCCACAAAGAATTAAGAATCATCTGTTGTCCAAAGTAGTGGTAAGAAAGGTTGTGATTGGTAGAGGCTAGTAGGGAAGCGCAAACACTTACCATATTTTGAGACCTACTAAAATCAACCCAATCTTGATTTGGATTTTCTTTTTTCGACAGCCAACACACAGAATATGAATTCTTAGTGAGAAAATATTAATATGAATATTCTCTTTGTTCAGGTAACAATTTGGTGGTATTTATTCAAAAAGTCAAACATGAGTATCATTTAGAATATCCATCAAATGTACCAGCATCAACAGATTCTAACAAAATGGTCAGTATGACTTTTTTCTTTTACTTATTTTCATATACAGTACCTATGAAAACTAATGGGCCTGTCCCAATCCTCATAAACACATTGGACACTATTGTAAGTTGGGGGTAATATGCTGTCTAAGTAGTTCACCATTAGCAGTGGTTTACCTACTTCACACTGCTGGCGAGTATTGTATTTTGTTGATGTTATAAAGATTACCATTACATTTTCAACCTCCATTTTGGTTATTCCTCATTCAGTAACCCTTTCTAGGTTACAACACTTATGAAAGTCATATGATTTTAATCTTAGCTATCATTCAATACTAAAAAAAATAGGTGATGTTGTTCACATAGCTTCATCTTTATAACAGTAATCATTTCTAACAATAATTTTGTATCTGGAAGATTTCAAGATAGTGACCAGGAAAGTCAATTCTAATAAGTTGAACATTGGATACTATCAAAAATGAAATATCCATATTCACAGTATGTGGTGGGGAAGATAGAAAAAAATGATAGCTAACAGAAGGTACACGAGTCGATACCTGATCAGTATTGGCTGCGTCACCATGGAGAGGGGGGTATGATGTTGAAAGACCCAAAAACCTCAATGAACTTCGGCTAGAAACATCACTGATGATATGTACCAAAGCATCCAATATATGTCTTTTATGAATCAATTCCTGAGATTCACCCTCTGAATTTATTTGCATTCAAGATTTGTCAAACATTTTAGCATTTTAGTCTTTCTCTCTCAATCCCCCTCACACACATAAGAACAAGAACGAGAGAAATCAGAAGATTTGAGAAGGATGAAATTTTAAATGAAAAAATTAAAAACTTTAAATTTCAGCACTCTCACATCGTCAGAATGTCCTTTCAGTGTATAAGTGTAAACAATGTCTGGGGTTTTATATCCCCACCTCCTCTAGATAAATAATTCCACTAAGAAAAACATTACTTTAGTCCAATGAAGTCCTAGAAGATGATATAAATGTTTTCCACTTTGTCATTCACTTATCTTATGTATTTATTTTACTGCTTAAACATTATTTGAGTAGGCACTGTTTATTTGTTAAACAGTATATTTATTTATTTTCATCTACTAGCCTGAATATTTGAGAAATCTTATTAGAAAAATATGTGTAATCCAGAGGGATTTGAATCTGTTTTCGCGTAGGGGAAACTGTCATTAGATCTGACGTGCTTTGACTATACAGTTACAGAGAAGTAGCTAAGCAAAACCTGTGTATGTTCATCATGACATGTTGTTTTAGATAAGAGAATAGTCATTAGTGAATAAAAAAGAGGTTATGATGGTTACCTCCATCAGTATAAGTAGGTACTACTTCAATGTAGCTATTATCTAATTATAGGAAATTCATGTTGCTGTCTCTCATGATAAATAACTTCCTCACCACTGAATTTCTGGGGATCAAGTTTATTTATTAATCAGTATATTTATTTATTTTCATCTATGTTAGGTACCTATTCTTTGGTAATGGACTCTCCCATAGATAATAAGTAGGAGTAGGAGTGGCAAGTCTGCAGAACGGTGTTGAGAACGTCAGTCGAGATTCGGACATTTGAAGTACCAACCATCACAACTAGATTTGCTGCGTCATTGACTGTGGCACCATTTAACGAGGCAGAAAAAGAAAAGAAAGAAAAGAAGGAAAGGAGAGGCTAAGGACCGAATCGTGGATGATAAGCAGAACACACACACGGCTAAGAGACAATGGATAAGGGATATTTTGATAAGTAACAAATGGCGAAAGGGTGTCATTACAATTACAGGGAAATTCTGAGTAAAAAGAAAGGGAAAGAAAGAAAAAATCAGATATGTTTTGGCGACGGCTGTGTTATCTAAGAATATGAAAACAAACTATTGGTACGGGAAGGCATCTTATCAACTACAGACCGACTGGCCAAAGAAAAATTCAAATGAAAATGTTATTTCGATAAGTGACGAAAAACAGGCAACTAAAAGGACTTTGGACAGATATGAAAAAATTAAAAGCCACCCACGAGTGTCCGCTGACCGATTTCCTTCGACGGAACATCCTTGGCCTGCGATAATAAAAATTATGTTATCAGAAATATGTACCGAAGGGAAATGAATGGGAATTTAGAAATGTCTTTTTCGGGCGACGTTGGCCGTGTTAAGAAGACCACCCATTCGGATAATTAGCAATAAAATACCTGACGAAAAACCACGTGTAGAACAAGAGTTATGACCGCCATTGTTCATATTGTCCCGTTTGCGGCTAGAGAAATGATAACGGCGATTAAGAGGAAGAAAAGGAAAGAGAAGAGATAATTTTTTTAGTTAAGCAAGATATTTTTTTTTCTTCCTGAAACAAAGCCGCAGATTCGTCCACGCCCGACTAAAACATCATTGGTCAAGTGGTGATCACGTGACGCACGAAGGAGGCTGTCGCCGCCCATCCAGAGTGTAGGTATGAGAAGCCACTACGAAGAAGTGGGGAGGGCAGTTCACGCCCTCTGAAGTATGGTGAGAGAAGGTGGGAGGAGGAAAGGTTCCCAAAAATGGAAAAAAGTGGAAATTCCTAACCAGAGAGGTGGATATGTATTTAGAATTATCGAGGAAACCCCGACGCCGACAGACCCACCCCGGTTTTGGTCGGCGTCCATATAAGTGAAGCCACAATGAGCAGAAATCAGTTCCAGTTCCAATTTCAGTTGGAGTTGCAGCGAAGAGTCAGTCTCCAGTTGAAGCCGCCTCGCAGATAGCTGTCCAAGATTTGTGCAAATTCCGGACTCCTCTTCAACCCAAGAACTTGCCTAACGGAAAACAACGTGTCACAATCCATAGAACGGGTCAGGAGATAGATGCAGTCCTATGTATTGAACAACTAGACATAAAGTTTGTTACCTTTTTCTTTGATACTTTGAACTTTTGAGTTTTCATTTTATTTTCTTTTATGCATATTTGTGTGGTATCACCCCCGTTGAACTTGGTTTGCATTACGGCCCCAACCACTGTTTGATCTCGTCTGCCTAAGATCAATTCACAACGTGGGTAGGCAGACTGGGGATCAATGCAGTTACCTTGGTAACCAGGCGTTGGAAGCGAGTTGGGAACGACGAGGCTGATATCAAATCTAACCAGATTCCCACCCGAATCACCAAAAGGTTAGAACGTCACATTTGGGTGCCGCGACCGATACCAAGCCAGTTGGTCGTCACAGGACGAGACAACACGACTGACGCGACAGGCGGACGTCACGTTTGGAGCTGCGACACCCGAACGGAGCAGCGAGAAGCGAACAGCTGGCGCTGCAGCGAGGACGTCACAATTGGTGCTGTTTAGGAACGTCACAGTTGGTGCCGTGGTAGACCAGAATAGAACGTCACAGTTGGCGCTGCGACCAGGGGACGACGTCACAGACTATTGTTTTCCAAGTTCCTAACGTTTTATACGACTTATTAGAAATACATTCTGGCGACAAGGATTCGTAAACCCACACGGAAAAAAAAAAAAAAAAAAAAACGTTTCGTTCGCCTAACCACAACATTTTGGGCGACGAACTTGTAATGGATACGGAAAAGAAAAATTTTTTCGTTTACTTTACTACAACATTGACGATGAAGGATTCGTTTTCAGACGAAGAAAGAAAAACTTTTGGGAAACGTCTAACAACAACATTGGCGACAAAGGAATTCGTAATTCATACGTAAGAAAAAAT